CCCCCCCCTAAAAAAATTTTTTTTTGTTTTAAGAGTAAAAAAAAAAAAAAATTATAGGAGAGAAAAATTTTTTTTGCCCCTCCTAAAAAATTATTTTTGCCCCCCCTAAAATTTTTTTTTGTCCTAACTTGCCCTAAAATATCTATATATTTCTTCACATTTAATTCTAATATTCTCTTTCATGATTTTTATGACAGTTTAATTACATCTTTTTTTAATTTTTCTTAATTTTTTTTTAAATTTTTTCGTAATATATAGATATATAATATTATTTTTGTGCTGTATTTGCCCCCCTCAAAATTGAAGCTGGTTCCGCCCCTGCTTCCATCTTGACTGAGGGATTCGTCTACTTGGGTAGGAGAAGTCACCAACTTAGCTAGAGAAAGTCACTCCCTTGGCTTGAAGAAATCGCTTCTTTGGCTAGAAAAATTTGCCAACTTAGCTGGAAGTAGTGAACCTGGCCGAGGAAAGTTGTCGACTTGGACAAGTTTCCTTGAATATAGCGAGTTCATCATAAGCTCAAATTTGGTGGACTTAGCTTGATCGAACTCTTGAGATATTTGCGCATCTGATGAATTCCTAGCATTCGAAGTTAATTGTCTGGAAAGATGATATGCAATTCGTAGCCTCATCACCTTCCCTGAAAAGTTATTATTAACATTTAAAACTTTACAATGGGCTATCTAATATTGAATATCTACATTAAGGTTGCTACCTTGATTCCTTATGACTATTAGAACTTTATCAAAGTTTGTCTTACAAGGTATATCTATACAAAATAGTGGGCCAGCATAGATTAGGGTATCAGGTTTGTGACTTTTGAGTTGCGCATAAACCTTGCCAAGGTTTTTCTCTAGAACAGTCATTGTTATATTGAATTTGAAAACCTTATTGTTTCCTAGCTAGAACAATCTATGATGGAATAATCTTATACTTTTTTATTTTAATTATGATTAAACCAATCTCCTTATTTGGATGCCCCGCCAACTTTTTATTTTACTATGCACTTTCGAGCTCATGCTGGTATTTTGTAGTTTATACTCGCTATTTCGTCTCAAAGTGGCTCTGTGTTCTTGAAATGTTGGGTATTTGAAGTAGTATATTTTGCAGTTTGCTTAAAGCCTCCCATCTTTTACTGCCATGCCTGTCTAAAGCACTATAATATAATGCTATACCTTATTTATGAGACGATTTTTGTTTATTTTCCTGTGACTATTTAGTATTTCTTTTATACTTCTATTTAGTTGGACCTGGTGGAAGTCCTGATGAAAATGGAGAAACTACATTAGATGCTCTTGTTATGAATGGGGTAACTTGATGGCCTTCTTAATTATTTGAGTACTTGGAAGAAAGAAATGAAAGTTGCTTGTTTTCACATACATCAAAGATGTTGATCATCACTTGTTTGCTAAGGATACCTGTAGTCAACAATGGAGGTCGGAGCTGTGGCTGCTATGAGATTTGTCAAGGATGGCATAAAAGCTGCTAAATTAGTTATGGAGCACACAGAGCATACTTTGATTGTTGGAGAGAAGGCCTCAATTTTTGCGATTTCTATGGGTCTACTTGGGCCTTCAAATTTGAGCTCACCTGAGTCTCTTGAGAAGTGGATTAGGTGGAAGAGGAACTCTTGCCAACCAAACTTTCGAAAAAATGTCATTCCTACGAATAGCTGTGGCCCTTACTCTTTCAGCGATGCTGCTTCAACTTCAGCTGCGAAGTCCCTTGCATCCCCTGCAGAAGGTGACTTAGGGAAAGATTGGCCTGAAGACAACAAGTTTGTAGCCTCTAAAGCAAATTCTATCCCTGTCAGCAATCATTACCATGACACGATATCCATGGCTGTGATAGATAAAGTATGTATTCACTAGATCTGAACAAGTGCCCTGTTTGACAAAGTTGTTATCTGTCTTCATGCCTTTCTTGGTTATGTTCAGGCTGGAAGAATAGCAGTTGGAACATCAACTAATGGCGCTACATTCAAAATTCCTGGCAGGTAAATTCCCTTCCGGTTTTGTAACCATTGTGTGAGAATTTGCATCTGCTGCCAGGTAATTCAATAATGGCACTATATTGAGGAGACCTTAAACTCTGCTTCATTAAGACTTTTAGAATTGTTTTGAAAGTGCATACGCACAATTTGCTCTTTTATTTTACAACAAAAAGATTTAACATGTTTGCAAATTTGAATGTGTTTTGGGACGTAATGTCTGCCTGAATGTGCTTATTCAGTAAACTGGTAAAGTAATGGAAGGTTTTTGCATTTAGGGTGGGTGATGGACCGATTGCAGGATCTTCTGCATATGCTGATGACGAAGTGGGTGCCTGTGGTGCAACTGGAGATGGTGACATTATGATGCGCTTTCTTCCATGGTAGTACTCTAATCCTATTCTTTTACCGGCTGTGAAGTCACACCCTTCTAGTTTCTCACTCCAGAATTTTGGTTACTCTTAAGAAGTTCATTAGCTTATAGATGTAGTATAAGGTATGCATCAAAAGAACTTTAAATTATTTAAGCTAATTTTGATTATTTATATGATTTTTTTGTGTTTAATTGTTTGTTAAAATGTGTCTCAACATTAATTTTGTGAGATTTTCTAGAACACTTCTATTAGATCAAATAAAAGATCTGGTGGAGCATGCCAACACATTGATCCTTGTGAAACATTAATTAACTTGAGATTTGTAACTTTGTTTTTCAGATATATTCTTGCGACTGCACATATGGAGGTCTTTCTCAATCCATGTCTGAGGCTTACATGACATTATCGTCTCAGATTATGATTTAGTGTAATATTTAAGTGTAGACTTGAAAAATGCTTATGAGCTCAAGTGATCCTGTCTGGATCCTCTTCTAGGAGCTTCAGGTTAGATTCAGGGAAACGTCAGTTTAGAAGATATATTAGGGTTTGCCTCTCAGAGATTTCCCCTGGTCAGTTAAATGGGACTAACCGAGATTTATTTAAGAGATCTTGGGTTGAGGTTTCCTACGAGTGCAAACTCAGATAAGTAATTACATTAAAAGCCTAATGCATGAGAGCGCTCTTGCTAAGAACATCATGTGCACTTTAGATTGTGATTAGTAGTTAAGTTTATAGGTGGGGGAATTGATGGGGATAAATGGTCAACTAGATGAAGAGATCTGATGATGTCATCTTCTTGGTCAACCTGGTAGACTAGATTTGATGATTGAAGACTTAAGGCCATGTCATTCAAAGAGTCTTATTAACAACCATGTAGAATCTCATGTTAGATATCTCAACTAGACCAGGTGAAGGTTTGCTGAAGGTTATGTCCTCACTTGATCAGGTATGGAGTTTTCTAGATGGAAAAGGGCTGACATACCAAGATGACTTATAACATAACCATTGGAGGTAGGGGTGTCAATTCGGGTCAACCCGCCGGGTTCGGGTCGAACCCGACCCGACCCGTATTTAAACGGGTCAACCCGAACCCGACCCGTTTTTACAAACGGGTCGGACATTTCAACCCGGACCCGACCCGGCCGGGTTGCCGGGTTGACCCGACCCAACCCGCGACCCG